GGTACTGTTTTATTTGATAAATACTAAGTATATCAAAACATTCGAATTTGGTAATTGTATGCAATACACATTCTTATCTTACTTTTACGGTAAAAGTTTTACCCCAAGTTATTATAAATTTAAAGCGTACAATATTTTAGTCCAAAACCATTTAATATTCCAGACCTGCAGATGTTGATTCCTAAATATTTTAGTTTTTAAATATTTACATTTGTGTTTGGCGCTAAAATGCAGAATTCAAAATGACATTAATAATAACAACAATCTTTTTTTAATTTTGTCTTAGTATTAAAACAAAACATTTATTAAAAAAATACTAAATGCTGAACAGTAAGAGAATCCAGCCATTACCGGAATAAAATTTAATTAAAGAATTGGTTAAAGGAACTCTTATCATGCAGATGTAAATTTTATTTGTTTTTGTACAAGTTATGGCAAAACTAGTTTTAATACTTATGATTTTAATAAATAAATAATACAGATTTCAGACCGTAAAACTTTTAAATTAATGATCTTTTTAAACTTTTTAAACTTAAATGTGTTGAACAAGTAAAAATTTATTCATAAATTGTTAAAAATTTTCCTCCTCGAAAAGCGAAGTACTTGAATTTTTAACAAACTTCCTCTTTAAAATAGTTTACGATTAATTAGTCTAACAAAGTCTTAATTATCGGGTATTCGCTCAAAAAACACTGCTATACAATTATAGCAAAAATTATAAATGCTAAAGAACGTCTTAAAGGAAAACTTTTTACTGAAATACCCAATTAATATTTATAAGGATAACATTTTTAAATACTGTTAATTCAGTCGCTTAGTTTCCAAACCCAGAAAATGTATTTATATAGTTCAAATCATGGAATCAAATAAGACATATCATTTGTTGTATTTTTTGCCAATATTTAGCATAAAAAGTGAGTTTGGGTTAAGATTTTAGTGTAACACCCTGTTTCAAAAAACATGCGCTAAAATTTGTCATGCAAAAATAAGAAAAAAAAATCATATAAAGTTTAAAGTTTAAAATATTAAAAAAAGCGGTTTATATGCATTCTTTTCTTAATTTTGGATGAAGAATCTCCAGGCGATCATTGGTGCATGTTGAGATACCCTGTATAATAAAATAAACCTAAGATTGAAAAAAATATTATTAATTTAATAAAAAATTTTAAATTTTAATTAACAGGTAAATGTTTCCAAATATTGTTTTTCCCGCCGGATTTTGAGCCGTTTGTGACATTTTAAAGTTGAATGAGAGCTGATTTTTTGTTACTTTAATACTGTCTTTCAATATTTGTTCGCTTTAGATTTGATTTTCAGAATTTCTTCGCCTTTCTATTTTATTCCTTTGTTTGGTTTACGTCTTTACCTAGCCACACGTATAATGTTGACTAAGTGACTAGTTTATCAGGTGAAAATGGAATTTTTCCAATTCGTTAACTGGTGACAACTAAGCTTTAATTGTCATGTAGATAAATTTTTAATTGTGTTCTATGAAACGAATAAAGTTAACTACATAAAGCAACAGAAAACGCATTTCCGCAATTTTGCAATTTACAAGGTAATTTTAAACGAATACGCTTATAGGCGGCAAACTTGTAAATCCTCCTCTGATCCTTGGTATAATAATATTATGCTTCCAACAAAAATATCTAATCTGTAGCATGTAAATTATATTCTTAGCACTTTTGGCACTTTGGTCAACTTACCAAAGTATTCGAAGGTGCTAACGATATTAATAAATAAAACAGAGCCAAACTCGATAAAGTGCAGCCAAGAGAAATCTAATCTAACCTATATTAGCAGGGATATTTTTTATTTTTTTTAATAAGTTTAGATCCTGTATTCTCCAGTAAACACAATCCCAAAAAAATAGTCTCATAATCCTTATTATTATCCTTATTATTAACTATTTAATAATAAAATTAGTGGAACATACCAGGAAGTAAAGTTCGAAAAAAGTAAATAAAACTTCCAGCTGCCAACCATAGAAAAAATACACGTCATATACAATAAATATAAAAAATTCGGCAAGTTAATTGACAATACACAGTAACCAGAATTAATTTTCAAATTGTACTAGTTTTTAGTTAAAACAAGTACTGGATTTAAAAAAAGTTTATAACCCTTTACAAACATGCTTTGTTTTAAATTTAATTAATATAATAAATTTAATTTTTTATAGTATATTAAAGTACACTTTTTGAAAATTCAAATTTAATAACACACCACAACCGAACAGCAAGGCAAATAAAATGTAAAATTTGAACATCAGCCATTAAAATACAAAAATGGTATTTAATGACAAGTGACGGTCATGCGCAACAGCAAAACAAGAGTCTTATTTAAGAACAACTATCTTTTGTAGGTATCGCCATTTATAATCATAATACCCAATGTTACTAAATTTGTATTTATAGTTGCGTGTATCTGCACGATATCTATATAATATTTAAATAACAAAGGTAAATATTTATTATTTTATTTATAAATTAATTTGGATTCTGGGGCAGTTAAAAATTAGCCTCGAAATTAGCTAATAGGCCAATATTTTAAAAAGTACTACATTTTGACACAATAGTACTAAAGTACAAAATGTATTCAAAAAGTACCAGATCTAGTACAGTTTTACAACACTAACAGCCAGGGCATAGTTAAAATAAACATCAATAGATGGCGCTAGTAATACTTAATACATATTTGTTGATAACATAATTTCAATATTTAAAATCCCCATTTTTTAATACACCAACATGTTATGTAGCGACAAAGAAAGGTAATATTGATGATAAAGATGAAAATATTGATGATGCATAAGCGTGTCTTTGATAATATTGATTTTGAGTATTTCTTTGACTATTTCCCTCGTCTTAATTTCGACCAATCACAAACACGCAATTTTGAATTACAAATGGTTTCTTGGTGAAAAAACTGTGTGACAGGTCCTGTCAGCAGTTTATTCGAGTTTACCCGCGGCAAAACTTGACAGCTGCTGTCACCAAAAATTGCAATTTATATTTTAATTGTTAACTGTTACTCATGAAATAGTCTTGTCAAATACCATTCAGGCATCTAATTTTTCCTGTGAAAAAAATCGAAAAAAACACAATGCTAAGTAATATTTTTTAACAAAATGCATTCGTGCAGGTGCAAAAATCCTCCTCTTCGACTCGGATTTTTGTTGCCACCAGCACTTTTTGTTAAAATATTACTTAGCAACGTGTTTTTTCGATTCTTTTCGGAAAAATTAAATGCCCTTATGATATTACTTACGAATATTTCCCTTCACATGATAAAAGGTGACTGTTTAATTTTTTTTATTGTAATATTTAACGTTTAGAACGCTAATAAAAATGGCCCATTAAAGTAACACCTAATTTCTACACGGTGTTAAAAACTCACCCTGAATTATATATTAAATATTATAGGGGCAAAATTAACATTTTAATTAACATTTAAAATAATTTAGTCAAGATCTTTTCCCTATATAAAAGTATCATCTTTTTCAATAACACAAAATTTTTTTTCAGAAATTTGGCAAAATTATTTCTTTTTCAAATTAAAAGCAAAAGGAAATTGTTTGAAAAAGACGACACTTTTATATAGGGAAATAATCCTAAATTATTTTTGCCAAAAATGATTTTCTAATTTGTGAACATCGATTTGTGTGTCTACTTAAATTCTACACGCTGTCGAAAAAAGCGTTAACTTACCATGTATAATATATTATAAATAAGAGACATAAATATGGATTTTAATTAACATTTAAAATAATGTAGTTACACTCATTTTCCTATATAAAAGGATCATCTTTTTCAATCAAACTTATTCGTCAAAAAATGTTTTTTTATAAAAAAAAGTTAGTTTAAAGACAACATTTTTATAAAGGGAAATGATTTTAACTTAGTTTTGTCAAAAACCAAGATTGGTATTTGCCAACGTCCATTTGTTTGTCTGTTTTAAATAAAATCGTCAACTCACCTTGCATAATGTTTTATATATTATAGAGAAAAATATTGAAATTGAAATTAACATTAATAATAATTTTACTTTAAAAAATGATGACGATGTATATAGTTAATGAATATTCAAGGTATAATGCGTTCAAAGAATTAATACATGCACATTAATATGCCAAATGTGTTTTGGGCCGTCATAAAAAACCATCTCATCAAAATAAATAACATTGAACTTGCACGTTAGGGTAATTATTTTAATAACATGTAATCACGAAACTTTTTGATGCAAAATCTGTTTAGGCAAATTATTGTGCTTCCGGTGGACAATACCGCAATGGTAGATTTTATGGTTTAAATCACAGTTGTTTAAAGTATTGTTTTGGATGTAGTTTTTTTTTAAGTAACAGATTATAATATATATGTTCTGCTTTACGTTTCCACGGGCGATATATGTATTAATGGTTTTCCGGAATCTGCTCCGTGTTGTCGGTTTTTGGTTCTTAAAAGAACCGTATGTCTGACGACGTTTCGGTACAATCTCATGTACCATCTTCAGGTCTTATCTGCTGGGAGAGAGAGAGAGCCGTTTAGGTGCATAGCTCGGTTATCTTCTTCCACTTCTTTCTATCTTTTGACTTTGTTTTCCATCCGACAATCTTCTTTCTTTGAGGTCTTTTAACACTTCTTCTATCCACTTCTTTTTTGGTCTTCCCTTCTTCCTTTTTTCTTCCGCCACTTTACTTCCAATATTTTTGACTAACTTATGGCTTTCCATCCGTTCCAAGTGACCCAGCTATTGGAAGTTCTGTTATCATGAGTTCCTTATAAATATCATAAATTTCTGCATTTGTCCTTCTCATCAATCCTTCTTCAATTCTTCTTCCTCCAAACATTATACGGACAATGCAAACCAATTTAAACATTTTTACATAAAAAGTTGTTTCACCATAATTTTTTACTATATAAAACTACTGTGCATCTATTAGAGATAATATGTCCCATATTAAGTTTGATGCACACACTCTGCTATCTGTTGTGAAATTATTGAAATTGAAATGTAAATTTCGGATGTACTCGAACAGCGTTTCCCGCAATATTTTTCAATGGCCGATCGTGAATATGTTAATGTTATTTTTGATTTCGTCAATAATCTGCCATCAGGCTAAAGCTGCCAGTATAGTGAACGTAAGTCTATATCAAATAGGTTAGAAGTAGATACTTTGGAAATGTCGTTGCAATATGTTTTTATGTGTTTGCTTTTAGCAAATGCATTTTATGTTTTTATATAGAACTGTTTACTTAATATATATTTTTTATAAAAAGTAAATAACAGTTAAAAGTTATAACCAAAGAAGTATTTTTTATTTAAAATTATTAAAAAGGAAAAAAGTTATTACAAAAATATAAAAATAGCAAAGTTTAATTATTGGATTAAAAATCTAATTCAAATTATTAGATTCGAAATTCGAATCGTGTATCGAAATATTCTACTTACGAATAATATACTTTTCATTAAAAATCAATTACCCAGAGAAAACAATTGCTCATTTTCAATATATGTTCATCTCTGTCGGTAACATAAAAAATTTAGATGGTAATATTGGCAAGAGATAATTTCTATTTGTTTTGGTCTTATTAATTATTACATTTTGTTTGAAAAAAATCTATAAGAAAAAGGTTACTCATGTAATGTTTCAATAATTTATCAAAGTTTTTTATACATATCCTCAATTTTTTTATCCTGAAAAAAATTATTAATGTAGTCATTTTCTTCTACTATATTTCTACAATTTGCAATTTATTATGCAACAAATCAGTCGAAAGAACGACAGATAACGTAAACCCGAACTCGAACTTATTTGAATTGAACCTATCTTCAGGTTTTTACAATTAATTACGAAATTCCGAATTATTCGAAATTTTACAATCGATGCCATTATTTCAATTTTCCATGACAATATAAACATGGTTAACATAACAGTATAAAAGACTGTGCCCATACTAATCAGAATATTCGATTAAGATAACCATTGTTTTTTCCCAGTGAATATATGCAATATTATTTTTTTGTTCACAATTAAATTGTCTTTTAAAAATATGGCGGGTATCCCATTTAAAAAATGTTATGTTTTACCATTTTAGTGACAAGAAATTGTTTTACGAATTTGCCAATTTAACCGACTTTTTAGCTCTATAACGAAGTAAGCAATAATGAAAAGATAACTGCGGTATATACTTAGTACCTATATACTATATATTTAGTAAGTATAATTACTATACTATAATCTATTGTATGTATTTTACGAATTTGTTTATTTTCGTTATTTTTATGATCCTGAAAATGAGTTTGACCCATACGCTTCCTATATTTAATTTTGAAATATATTATATTAAGGTAGAATATTTTTATTCATAGTAACTTGTAAAAATGTATTCGAAACAATTGAAAAACGTGCCGTTAATTTGATTAGGGCAACTACAAGCCGATTGAGCCGAGCTTGGGAGCGTTTCCGTACCAAGCGAGCATAATGCAGCTGATGTCAGACAAAAAATCCTATCACAGCTTCTGTGGCGGCAGCCTGATACACCGCCACTGGGTCCTGACAGCTGCTCATTGCATCCAACTTGACGAGACCACTCCACCTGCCAAGCCGTAAGTTTTTAACAAAAATAGATAATGACAAAAAATAAAAATACATGAAGCCTTTGCTTTTAGCTTTTAATTGACCCGGTATAATGGCGTTACATCATGCACATTTCATGCAAACTATCCATCATTTGTTTTATATTTGGACAGCGTCAAATTTATATTATACCTTTAGTGAGCGCGTCAAAATCCCTGAATTTAAAAATAATTTGAACTTTTTTTACTAATATGTTGTATTTTAGTTAAAAATTTGCAAAATGGCGTTGTACTGTCAAAAGGTGAAATTTTTTAATGGAAATCGAGTCATTTTTCAGATTCTCTACAGGATATGTCAGAAATAACCAAAAAAATTGCATTTCATTAGTCCAATTTTTAACTTTTAACAACTTTTTTTTTAGAAATTTGAAATTCTAGTATTTTAAACCTAACCACTTCTTAACATATATGAATTTAAGAAAAAACTAATGGCGTATTACTTCCAGAAGGGTCATTTGACATATCATTTGAAAGGCTTTTAAAATGTACAGAGGAACAAAAAAACAAAAAACTAAGCTAAGCTACTTCAATAAATAGGAAACGTATAGAAGATTAACAATGGATTATAGCAGGAATGCACTCTTCTCGTTCTGGGGCCTATATGATTTTTTTATTACACACAATAGGATGGCCACGGAAAAAAGGTTTTAGAAAACAATAGGAAAGATAACAAAATTAACGTTATCTATATTTTTATACCAACTTCTCCCAAAAATAGACCATCAAGGCAAACATTTCAATATTACGAAGAGACAAAAAGTGTGGAATGTTAACCTGGTGAACCAGTTTTGTTATTCAATTTTGACTTTTTTATCATACAATTAAAAACTATATGATTTAAATCGCTTATAACTCTGCGGTTTTCACAATCTGTGCTTGTTAAAATACCAATTTTATGAGATTTGTGTACTTTTTAAAACCATTTTACAGAGTTCATATCGATATTTAATTGGGCATGCCCAATGCTTATATATATTATTATTATTATTATTGGTAACAGATGTGTAATCTGTAATCGTTTAAAATCTCTTCTCATTCTTTTCTTAAAAATGTTGATAGCGTCACCGGCCTTATTAGAGATAGATTCCTTCACCAAAGTAACTACGCATTTTCGGGGATACCAACCCATACTAATTTTATTAAAGTATTATTTTTTGTAATATTAATTAAAATATTTTTAATTTGGAATATAAATGGATTTGATTTTTTCACGACTATTTTTATTTTTTCGCTCCCAAATCAAAATCTTGTTGAAAATGTTTAAAAATAAAATTTCCTGAAAATTTGAGCCTTTAATATTAACTCACACGGTGGTGTTCTGAGAGGTGATTTTTGGACTTTCTGTGAAACCTATTTTTTTTTATATTCTTGTTGATTAGGTCATAACTAAAATTTTAGGAGCAAAATAAAAAAAATTTGACGGTTTGAATTGTTTTAATTGGCTGTTTATTAAAAATATTATGCACTCGTTCAATTATCCAATTAAAATTAGCGATTTAATTTAAATATTTAATAATTGCATAACTAAAAAAAAGGTTTTTACAATTTTTTTTATATATTTTACTGTTTTGTTGCAATAAACGTTTAAACTTTTAATCTAACCTTTGACGTATACATTTATGTTCCCTTAATTAATATATCCTTAAAGGTTGCCATGAAACTTAAATCTATTAAAAATTTATTTGATGTTTGAATTGTCATTTTCAGTATACGTATTCTGTAATTTTTGTTTAGTTTTTTAAAGTGTTTTTTATAAACAAAAATGAAAAATTGTAGTAAAAGTTACGAAGAAATTCATGAAATTTAACTAAGGACCGGTTTATTCATCTTTAGTAAAGTTTATCGGGCCGATAACTTTCATGTCTTGGCAATATCTAGTATCCAAAGAAATTATTCGTCAAATAAATCAAAAATGAATAAATCGGCCCTAAATAAAATTTGGCACCCTTAGAATTATTGTTTAATAAATGTATACTATACATTTAACCTTAAATTAAAACTTTAAACGTGTTTTACAACAAAACAGTAGGTAAAAGATATAAAAAATGTATAGACCTTTTTTTAGGAAATTAACTAATCTTTAATCTGATTTAAAAAGTTATGATAATATTTAAATAAAATCGCAAGTTTTAATTGGAGAATTGAAAGTGTGCATACATATTTTTAATAAACATCCAATTAAAACAAAATTAACCGTCAAATTTTTTTTATTTTGCTCTTAAAATTTTAGTTATGACCTAATTAACAAGAATATAAAAAAAAATTAGGTTTCACAGAAAGTCCAAAAATCACCTCTCAGAACAGCACCGTGACTCAAAGTACTCGACCAAAGCGTATAAAGATTTCCCATTTAAAATACACGTAAACTTCACGGTGTCCCTGAATAACTTTTAATTGAAAGGTTCAGACGTATCCGATTTTTTTTCATATTTTGATAAACTCAATTGGCTTGGTACTTTTTTAGAAAAATCAATTTTTTGAGATTTTTAATTAGTGAACTCCAAATCATGACTAACAGCTTTTAATGTATTTGTTACATAAAATGTGCAATTCATTAGACTAGTGAACTATTGACATATGTCAGTTGTCATATGTCACATGTCGAAATCGTGATTGAAAATACCGTTACGTTATTTTACCGTTTTTTTTTCAATTTGTCGCAGATTTATTTTAAAACTAGATATAATAATTATATTTGCATTGATTATAAAAAAACTTTAAACACAAAAATACACACAAAAATAAGAATAATTTGTAGTCGACTTAAAATTAAGAAACGATTTTGAAACAATAATTCAATTTGGCTAAATAGTAACATTAATTAGCCAGAATATAAACAATCAAAAGACGAAGAGGTACAAACAGATGTCAAAACTTATCGTCGTCATAAAAGGAGGAAAACTGAAGCCCTGAGTCAAAAACACCCTGGACATGAAATTTTATTTGCCCCAAATATTTACTGCAAAATATGAAAAACGCTGTATCATCATTGAATAAGGCTCTTGCCTTGTATGTTGATATGAATCTGAGAAAAGCTCAATACAATGGTCTCTGTAATACTTGTAATAACGAAAACGTTCTGTGGTTTCAATGATTATTATAAAAATTTTATTATAAAAAATTCAACAGTAAAAAGGATACTTCATGTTATGTAACATAACAGAGAAAGGTGCCAGCGTCAATATTTAATCCTCACAAGATGAGAATATTAAAAACCATGAAACATTTGGAGATATCTAAATGGGGATTCGATGGAGCATCTGGAAAATGTTTGTATAAGCCGAGTAGTGTTGAAAATTTGAACGATTCGTCAGTTCTTATTACAGTATCTTATTACAGTAACTGTTATGGTGCCTATAAGAAAAATTTACGAGTCAGGTGAAATTGTATCAAACAATTTGTACGGGAAAATTTGAAGCCATCCTTAACTAGGTATTTTCGAGCGATTGCTATCAAGTTTTATAAGGAGACTGTTGAGCTATCAGTGTCAGAAAAAAAAAACTGTGCAAGTCTTATCGATATTTTAACGAAAGCCTACAGCAAGAATACAATGGTATTTACAATGGCAGATGAAAAATTTCTCGCTGCTGTAATGCATCAACAGTTAAAATTAACCCATTTAAAGTGTGTGTGGTGACCAGTATTACTTGTTGTCGTATCAAATACAATGCCTTCAAATTAAAGGTTTTAATGAACGATTTAGCTCAACATTTTTTAGCTTTAAATAGCAACGTAGAGGGTTCAAATATCTTAAAAATATATGTATATTTGTACCAAATTTGCCATCTGCTGGTGGCCCAGAATAATAATAATATTATTACATAATCACATACAAAAATGGCAAGATTCAACAGTTTTTTCCTCCATACATTTATGGACCACATTGTACATAAATATTTTTAAAATATGTTTCTCGATCCGCCCCTGATGATTAAGTTTAAAAGGTAAAATAATATAAAAAGATAGAAAAACATGTTTCATTCTAACCAAGTGGAATTCACTCTTGATCAAACTATACACTTTAATATCGATGTGTTCCCGGTAGTGATTCGTAATAGTATAAGAAGGGAATACATGAAGTTCAGGATGGACAATGCACAAGTAATGGGCAACTAAACCCCCCAGGGAATATAGTTGGCAGCAAGCCGAATCTTCCAACAACACGCTGTTTAATATTAGATTTCTGCAGCGTGCTCTTTCCGAATCTGGTTCTACGCTCCATTTGCTATTCCATGATTCCCATCTAATAATACTGTGGAAAGTGAGGATGACCAATTAGCCATTAATAAACAATAAACACCTTCCTATAACACTGAGCGTAAAAAATGTTTAAATATTATGTTTTGTAAACATTATCGAGCTTGAGTTAAAATACAGTGTATATATTTAAACAAATAAATACAATTAATTAAAACGAGTGTTGAATTTATATAATGCTTGATATTTTACTTGCCGTATAATCGTCGTTTGATCTTTGCGTTAGTCTGAGAAGTCTTTGTAGAATAATCTCGATGAATTAAGGTTGCAAATCTGTAATACTTAAGAAGGTATAAGTCCTGAAATGCTGTTAAACGTGCGCAGGAATTTTTATTTTAGGCCAGGGTATTGTTTAACTGCTGGCCTATTTGAACATTTAATTTAGAAAAACAAATGTTATTTAAGAAAAATTTTATTTGGGAGTTTATACTTTTTATTTTTAACGAATTCGTTTGTTTGTTTTAATGTATTTTTGCAAAAACATATTCAACGCATTGTTTAAAATCCATTAAATTCCACTTAATGGGGAAAATGTTTTTCTTAAAAAACTATGAACTTGCCTCAATTAATCCCAGTGTATCCGCCATTTTGCAACAAAAGGCCACAGGGCGGAAAAAATAAGAATGTTTTACCTTATTAGAGCTTGTTTAGGTAAAATGTCTCTGGTTTACTTTTAAAATTAGATATCGTTGTGTGTGTCAGTTTTATACAAAATGAAGTTGTTTGAACAATTTTTATTTTAACTATTTTAGTTTTTAGCAATATGTACTTTTTTACGAATATTTTATCCAGTTAACTTTTTTGACCGAAATTGAGTGTTTACCTAAATTTACATTTTAATAATTGAAGGGACTTTAAAATGTGGCAAGCTTTGCTAAAATGCAATATTTTGGAGAAAGAATCCATTTACATTTATGTATTAATGCATTTATTATACAGGGTGTTCCAGGTTTTAGTAGCAATAATTTACCATTGAAAAATAAGTCGAAATTCTTTTCAAAACTATTCTTAAGGGAGATACCTACAGCCCTTCAAAGTTTAGTTTTAAAAAGCATTTTTTTTGTCATAACCTCAGCCTTTCTGACCAAATTTGGTATAAGTACTTATGATACTCATTTCTTGACACAAATAACTTTTCCCAGTTGTTTTAAGTAGATTGTAAATGCCTTTAGGTAGTATCTCAATTTGAAGAGTATCCATATAATGTTTTTAAAATTTAATATATAATTTTTTGAGCCATCGAAAGTTCACAAATATTTTAGTTTTTTTGTAGCACAGATTCACAGAAAATAATTTTTAAAGTTATGTACAGGGTGTTTTCGTTAAATGACACACCCGTCTAAAATTTGATATTAAAATATTAAAAAATCCAGCCATAGATAAACAACTTACGTAGTTAAATAACCATGGTTTTATTTATAATTTTTAACAAAACGCCAGTGATTGTTTAAAACGCCATGCTTATTTTAGGGTAAAAGTTGTTTATTCATAGCAACCATGATTCTTGCGTTAAATTTAGCATAATTTCTGGATTATTTATTAATAAAATATATAGAAACTATATATTTTTAAAACCAAAAAAAATATTTAAATATTCAAAAATATACAGTGTGTTTTATTGAAAAAAAAAACAATGTCAATGCTATTTTATTAAATGTACCGATGCTTTTTTGTCAAAAAAATTACTTTTATAAACCATGTATAAAATAACTTTTATAAGCCATGTAAGCTGGATTTTAATTTTTTCGATATCTCTTTTAATAAAGATTTTATAGGGGTGTCTCATTAATTAGAAAATAACCTGTATATTTGCTTCTATACGCCATTTTTTTATTTTGATTAGTTTTGAGATAATCATATTTAAAGTAATAAAACACTTGTAATTTGAAGTAAAAATTGTTTGTGGTTTTATGGTTTTTTCAAGATGTCTAAGCTAAGAATTCAGTTATAAAATAAATAAATAGGACATGATTTATATTAATCCCGTCGCATTCGCCATTTTTGAAATTATTTCCCGATCCACTTTTTATAATAAAATTTATATATAATAAATAATAATAATACTTTATTGAACTAAAACCAAGTTCAAAGGCTATTGACCGTAGTCCTTCAGCCGTTTTATATAGCCGTATATATATTATTAAGAATTAAGCATTTTACATTTTTAGATGCATTAAACTTTAAAACTTTAAAACCTCGTGGAATTCCCATTTTTTAAAATCGCATCAATTATAAATGGCTTATCATTTATAATTTCATACAATTTCAAACAACATGGTATAACACTTTTAATTAAAACAATTTTTCAGTAAAGACACATTCGTTGCCTTTGGAAGCATAAAAAGAAGCGCTAAAGGAGGTCAAATAATAGGAGTAAAAAAAATGATGATACATCCGACATACTTGAGTACCGGGGGAAGAAACGACATTGGCCTTATAGAACTAAAAAGTCCAGCAGTTTTGGGTAATTATTGTGTTTTATGAACTTAAAATTTTAAACAATATTATTATTAAATTATTATATTATTTTATTAAGTTATTAATATATTTTAAAAAGCCACCTACTAAATTTATATAATAATATAGTATTTTTTCTAAAACTAAATTACCTATACCGTTTACTCAAGGTCTATTGTCAAAAATAGCACTACAATATTTTATATGTGTTTTCAAGAAAAAAGCAAATGAAATAAATTTATTTTACTGCAAAAATCGTGCTGCAAAATTACACAAAATATAATCTCCAATAAAGCTTTTATTGCAAATAAAATATTCACACCACTACCTGCTAAAATACACTTTTGCTGGTAACTTTTCTTTGAAAGTACTTTGATGTTGATATATTCCCGAACGAATTTATTATTTACTTTGTGTTTTAGGACAAAATGTAAAACTTATTAAACTTCACACCAACAATGCTGAATCTTTAATAGGCAAGACTGCTTATCTGACAGGTTTTGGGATAACAAATGGTACGTATAAAACTCTAATGAAACAGATGGAAGATTTATGTGTTTCTTATGAAAACCATGCATGTTTACAATCATGTGCAAATAATACTGTACAATTTAAAATATGACGGTTTTCATAGGTTTTACAACTAAACAGTATTAAAAAAGTCTAATATTAGGCGAGAATTCATAAAATCAACAGTGAAAAAATTAATATCCCTCAAAATTTATCAACAATTTTTTTTATAAAAAAAGCAAAATATTACGAAATAAAAATGTCACTTTTTAAACTATACCTTGTTGTTTTTAATATATCTTAATATCTTCGAAAAGTTTATATGCACGTTTTTACTGACCTTTTATTTTGCTGGCAGTAGAGTAGTATTTGAAGATAAGGCATTATATATTTTGGGTGTAGTACCCACGAAACATTCCCTTCACTTTCACTGTGAAAAACGTTTCCATATCGGATATAAACGGTTATTAGTCCAATTTTAAGAAATAAATTTCCATTTAACAAAAAATTTGACAAGCAAATACTGTCATTTTAAAAGACGGTTAGGTGGTTACGTGGTTTTAAATTGGAAAAAATTGTTTCCCCCCTCGTATTCAATCATAAAGTTTGACATCTGTTAGACGGTTTTAACCTTACTTTCTGCTTTAAATAATTGTACGTTTTATGTATCGTTTAACAAAAAAATGGCTTTAAATTTTGAAAAACTTAAAGATAAAATGTTTTATCCCATTACAAAAATACTTTTACTATTAGTCACAATTTGTTTTGGTTATTTTTATAATATTATTAAAAAATCTTTTGTAACTAGGTATTTAATAAATAATAGGTATTTTGTAATAGAATATTTTTTTACGTAAATAATAAAACTAATTTTAACAATACAAATTTTACTAAACATATAACATTAAAAAAGTTTTAACAAAAATAACTATACAACATTTTGAAAAAATAATTTATACAATTTACAATGCAATTTCTTAAATAATTTAGAGTTTGCCTTAATAAAAAAAACTTAAATTAAGGTTTGGAATTTGTAAACAAATATTTTCATATTATTGCGTTTCCTTATTTAACCTTATTTATAATAAGAAAACCCAGGAAAGAAAAAACACCATCATGAAGTCTGATATCCTGAGCATAGCATTAGGTATGGTATTATGTTTCAAAGTTTTAATATTTGGAACTATTTAACTGAATTGCAACGAACAGTGAAAATTTATTATATGAATAATAACACAATATATTACACTTTGTAACTTTGTTGCAGTTAGACTTATTCCTAATTTTTTTCTGCATAAAAATTTACAGTTTTTGTATAAATGTATTTTTTTAAAGCGTATAACAATTTTCATATAATAACACGCATAAGCCTATCTTTATTTAATGCGCGATATTAACCGGATTTGTTACAAGAAGTGACAGTTGTATTTATTAGAATTCCCGTTGGAATTTTCTTCAACTAAATTTTTTCTGTGTAAATCAAAATTTATCTCTTTAAAATAGACTAACAATTAAATTAATGTAGAAGCAGTAAAACCGAAAAGAATGTTTTATGAGCACTGTACGCAAATTTTGTAATGCCTTATTAGTTAAATCCATTAAACGGCATTACTACGGCGAAATTAAAAGGTCAGTATAAACGTTCATATAATCTTTTCAAATCTTGGCGTCAAAAAACTATTTAATACTTTTGTATTGAGATAATAAAATAATTTTCACATTTAGTATTATTTTACAAGAGAGGCACTTTATTTTAACGATTGTACGACATTTGAAAACTGTCAACTAACTTAAAACTAACTTTAGCCTGTGACTAAAATCCTGTTGCTAACTTCAGCCCGCTAAAGCGCCATACAGCCACAACTTGTCAATGTGTATTTAAAAGGTCACTTAGTATCAAACATGTACGATAATGGGCGTATTAAAGGTGGGAGCAGAAAAACAATATTATTGCGTGATATAATAAATCGATGTTTTTACTTTTGGATTAATCTAATTACAATTTCTCAAAAACCTGACGTGATAGATTCTATGATCGAGTCGGATTTCAGCGAATCAAAAACTTGCAACGCAATGGTTTAATTTTGTAGACCCATGTGATTTTTCTTAAAAAGTGGTGTTTTATGTGGTTTTAATGATTTATATAATATATATGGGTGATTCTACAAAAGTTGGACAACTTGATGTCATCAGTCTATAGAGTAGGTATTTTAATATTTTTTGTAAATATTTTAGTATATTACAAAAGATATAGTTTTTTTAACTTGTCCACCCAATTTTAATGTATTTTTTCAAAAGCACGTTTGTAGAAAAACATAATAAATATTCAAAACATCAGTACCTTGGCGTGTCACAACTCCTGAACCAAATATAGCGATTTTATTTTAAAATATATTCATCTTATCTTAAATTTTTCAATTTCACTACAAACTATAAAACATTAAATCCGCCCTTTGCACGACAGTCATCTTGAAAACAATGCAAACGGCGAAGTTGTGGTGAATGCACGTATAGTTCGTCAAAATTTCAGTACTGTGGTGAATAGTTATTTTCTAACGTATATATATTTCATTGTAATTTATATAAGGCTATATGTGATTTGTTGATAAGTAGCATCCACTAATAAAAAATATCAGTAAAATACTTAATTCCGAATTATAATCTCAAATTTGTATCCCATTCATCAATACCGTGTCGTGAGTTCCATGTTCGATGTTTCGGTTATCTTTTTTTCGCAAACTTTAATTTAAATTCAGCTTGCGCAGAACTTGTTTATATAATGTCATTGTAAACTCATATAAATTTGGTGTCGGTCCCATATCTAATAATTGAGATATCGGTTTACCCAAAATTCACCAGCCGCCACTGATGTGTGGTATTATTTGATTTTAAGATATTTAATGTATAATATGCTCAAAGTTGCAATAAATATTATATTTTCCAATAAATTAGTACCCTGGTATACTCGTCACTTCCCTTGCATTCAAATTTAGAAAACACAGATATTTCAGAAACTGTTTGAAAAAGGGACTGGCCCGGTCTGGAACAGTATATTTATTATATTATCTATGTTCTCATAACAAACCACTGTTTAATTTTCTCCGAAAACTATATAAACAAAATGAGGTCAAAGGTTGCCCAACTTTTGTAGAATCACCTATATATATATATATTTTTTTTTAATAAAGTTTTTTTATATTATAGATATGTACCAGGAACCCGAAAGATTAAGAAAAGCAATTTTACACATAAGCAACTACAAGAAATGTTTAGGAGAACCAGAGTATCAAAAAGTGGAGATTTGTGCTGCATCAACGATACAAGAGGGAAAAGCATGTAAAGTATGTAATATTTTGTACATAGTAGTCGTAACGTAAAAAATAAAAGATAGACAGTGTAAAACAGTAGAGAACACTTGCATAAATGTATAAAGGTATTTCGAGAAATATTAAATTGGCGCGGCATTTTCGGAAGCATCCTTCTTTTTCAGGGAGACCGTGCATAAGTGCATACGCGAACGGTTCTCTGTGGGAAATTGTTAAGTAGCTTACTGCTATACTTAGACGTTTTTGTACAAGAGAAACGAGACAATCTGGATAAGCTGACAGACTTTATTTGCGAATAAAATTTTTCCTAAATAATATTATGAGAAATATCTCTATACAGGAGTAAGTATTAAATTTCTATGAAAAAGAAATACATAAAACGTGTTTTAAAATATAAAAATAAAATATAAAGAATCGAATATTGTTTTATAAGTATAAAAAAGTAATAGTTTTTTATTGAAATATCTTGATTCATGAGCGGAGCTCCAAGAGATAGAAAACTTTACTGTTTTCACACGCTGTTTTTTGTATTCTTAATGCAAAAACATTATGTATTTAAATAAAAATCATCATAATCGTTATAGTCGTCCCTCGTAAGGGTGGAGGGGGCGAGCTATCTTAAGGGCGACAAATTCTAATAAATAAATCATTGTTAAAATCAGGCACAATAGTAAACACAGGCAATAATTTATTAATACTAAAAATGCAATTAATTTGGCTTTGGTGGTGCTTGGATGAGTAAAATCATATAAAAAAAGTAGTTAAATATAGGTTGCTTTAAGGCCCAGAAGAGAAAGTATTCCTAGCAGATAATAATCTTCGCTTTGAAAAGAATTTATATAAAAGAAATTAAAATTGTTTGTGAACGTAAATGTTGTCCAATGGTGAATAATGTGAAAATAATGTGTGATGTAATATTTATACAACCAAATTTGTTACTTTTTTACTCCAAAAATGTCCATAAGGCGATATACTTTTTCTTTCATTGTGGCATTTGGCATAATTTCATCAAAATGAAGTTTTGCCCTCAAAAGGGCTTTTACATTCGAATTTGTTGATATTATTGTCAATTTGACAGTGTCAAAGTATTTAATTAAATTCTTTAGCAGAAGTACCATTAGTACCTAACAAAAAAACACGAGTCCAGATAAAAAAAATGAACTGTATTAAAAAATATTTTATGTTTAAAAATAGTAAAGGGTGGGTCATCCATAAGTTGAATTTTAAACTACATGCTATTAATGAAGCTTTCAACTTAATTGCTGACAGTGGTTTAGTTTTAACCTTCCGATTACAAAATATGCACCGAATAAATTTGGGTCAACGTTTCGAAATACTCCAAATTTACTTTGCATGTGACTGTGATCGCAGGGACAGCAAGAAAATTGCGTTTGGAAGAAATGAGGCGCCGTCAAACCAAAGTATTACAAATTTGATCAAAAAATTGCGCAGAAATGGAATGCTGGTGGACATAAAACATGTTTCGCATGCTCGTCCTAGACGTACACCTGAAGCAATCGCTGCTGTGGCCGAAAATGTACGCATGAACGCGTCAACATCAACTCGGCGCAGATGTCAACAACTCGGCCTTTCCCGTACCACTCTGAGGATGATTCTGCTCAAAGACCTTGGTATGTTTGCGTACAAAGTCCAGCTTGTTCAGGAGTTAAAGCAAGTTGACCATCCACAACGTTTTCGCTTTGCTGAGTGGGCTTTAAACCAGTTGAACGATGACCCTAATTTTGCAAGAAAAATCATCTTTTCGGATAAGGCGCATTTTTACCTCGGAGGTTATGTCAACAAGCAAAACTGTAGGATTTGGGCCACGGAAAATCCACACGTCGCCGTAATAAAGCCTATTCACCATTTAAAACAAAACATTCAAGCTCAAATTGCCTAAATAGAGCAGCAAACTTTTGACAAAGTGCTCAAAAATTGGTGTTCCAGGATGGGCTACTGCCGAGCCAGCTGAGGTGGCCACTTAAATAAAATCATTTTCCATACTTAATCGGAAGAAACATTGTATCAAATAAAGCAAAATTCGTTGAAAAAAAATCAGTTTTTCTTGTCCTCATTGCTATTTTATAATTCAACATAAACATGGCCCACCCTTTATATTGTGCGACTAGTGGAAGAAAGAGTAGATTCATTGAAGGTGGAGTTTTCCGCACGAGAACGGTAAGCAAGTGGATCTCCTATTTTAACCAGTAGTCGAACACAATATTCAATTCAACTACCGAAAGGAATTTTAAGCCAATTTTATTAGATATTTTAATTAGGTATAATTGAGGATATTATTAAGGATATTAAAAATAAAAAGAATAGGAATGCTGGCACAAGAGGTGAAATATATTATTTTACAACTTAAAATATACCAGTATACACTGTGCCAATGAGAAAAACTTTTTTAGAGCTAACACATCTAAACCGACCATAGATTTGTAAACTACGACCAAAAATTACGTGTCCGAGCGTTAAGCTGTGATATTTCAAAAGTTAAAAATTTACCTACAGTGTAATTAGTGTTTTGCATGTAATGTATATAATCTACATAATCATGATTTTACAGGAGATGGAAAAGAAACTTGTAAGTCTCCATCAAATCAGTTTAAAATACTGCAGTACCATTTTAAACACAATAGTGGTTTATATAGTAACAATTTGTAACTTACAAGTAGCTTGATAAAACTATAATAAAATTTAAAAAAATATTATTGTGGGCCTGATTTGTAAAAACCTCAAAATTTAAAAATTTTACTGTATTTGGAATCACCCCAACAATTTGATAAAATATTATTTTCGTTAAAAGGGCTTTCCAAAAAATTTATTTCAAAAGTCTCGTTGTCTGAAGCGTCTGCAGTTTGAAGACGACACCAAAAATATATACTTTTTTGAAATGAAATTGGAAAAAATTAAAATGTTTCATTTTGTGTTTAATATAATTATTTTAAAATTTATTTACATATTAGGTAGGTCGAATTTATTTCAAAAGTCTCGTTGTCTGAAGCGTCTGCAGTTTGAAGACGACACCAAAAATATATACTTTTTTGAAATGAAATTGGAAAAAATTAAAATGTTTCATTTTGTGTTTAATATAATTATTTTAAAATTTATTTACATATTAGGTAGGTACCTATATGAAATGAGCACTAGTAACATATATTAGATAATCCGTTATTTATTAATAAGTACGTCTTACTTTAGTATAAGTATGTTTTTTTTTATTAAGAATACGAAAAAAGGATATTTTAAACATTTACAGTTCTAAATTAGTTTTTATTATTATTATTATTAATATTATTATTTGTAAATTTTCAATTTTACAACTTTTCTGTTGTAGTTGTTTTACTATATTAGTATATATAGTGTATACACTGTAAAAATATTTAAAATGGACAATTTTATACAAAAATTTAATTATTAATTAACAATACAAATTATGCATTTTTTTTTAAATATTTGCACATTTCAGTGAATAAAAGTATACTGTAAAATAGTAGGTACTATGCTCCACACCTAAAAGTCCCACCTTGACATTTGAATACAAATAATTGGGGTTATTTCTCTGTTTAACGCTAATTTCGTCTTATTTTCTAAAAATAATTTTTTCTACGACCACTATGTAAAAGTCACTTTTCATGATGGCATCGTTGCTTACAAAATGAATCTTTTCATTGGCAAGGCAAAACACGAATGTAAAGTGACATTTCTGTGTGAAAAGTGACAGGTCTGTGTGAAAAGAACCGGAAAGCATCGTTTGACATTCAGCTGTCAAAAAAGTTTTTAGGTTATTTTGTTTTGTATTTAAAAATAATAAAAAATAAAAGGGTCGCAGAAAAAACATTGTGTTATACTTGTGAGAAAAGCTTTCTTCAAGCTCGTGTTAATGCACACTCGGCCTAACGGCCTCGTGGGCAATTATTATTTTCAGAAAATTCAAATGTCTAAGTGGTACTTTTAGATGTGAAGCATATATGCTTTATTACATAAATGTACTATAGTACATTTATGTAATTAAAAACGTTTAAGATAGTAATAAGAACTTTACTTAATGCAATATGCTCTCTTTTCATCGTCTACGATTGTCCAGATCATCACAAAGAAAGCCAAATAATAAAAAAGTTAAATTGAAATTTCAGGGAGATAGTGGCGGTCCGCTGACCATACTTAAAAATGGCCGATATATTCAAGTCGGGATTACAAGCCATTTAGCAATTTTGCCGTTCTGCAGAATATCCTTTAATAATTCAGTTTATACCCGCGTTTCTGCTTATATAGCATGGATCTCCAAGATTACCGGAATAGATTTTACCAAGTTTAATCCTGGCGTACGTTAAAGTGCTTGTCTATCATCGAGATTGTAAATTTTTAATAAGTTTTAAATAAAACTCAATTTCATTCTACTTTATTTTTTATTTTTTACCTTAAATCCCATTTTAAAAGAAAAATGTATGCATCAAATATAAAATAAAGATTTTAAAATTGGAAATCAATATGCATAAATAAAATGTATTGTTCAAATCTGGGCATATTATGAAAACAGTATTCTCCAAGTCTCGTTAACAATATACTTCAATATTATAAAAATCTGTGTACAAATATGTACTCTGTCAAAGGTAAGATAAACAAAAATTAAAACAAAAAAAATTAAGAATTTTCAAAAAAGCTAGGATTTTGGTAAATATCATTTTAAAGTTACCAAAGGGTCCCGAACAAGAAACTGCAATCAATAAAAATGGGTGTACAAATGTGTACTCTGGCAAAGGTAGACTTTGCGATGAACAAATAATTAAAAAAAATGATTTTTTAACAAATTAAAAAAAAGCAGTATAATATCGTTTTTAAAGCTCCAGAGTGCCGATCAAAAAACTTTAACCAGTTTTTCATTCAAAATTGAAAACTACTAAAAATCTTAAATTAAACAACATTTTAAATATTTTCTAAGCGTTATTTTATTTAATTTTATTAAAAATCAATTTTTTTTTTATAAAAGGTTAATAAGAATGCCATTTTGAAACCTGATAAACGTAGAAATATCTAAAAAAAATTGGGATAAATTTTTTTTGCGTGTTATGCCAAAATGAATTTACGCGTTTGCTTTATTAAAAATAAGCCATTTTTATCTCACCCTGTATATATCAAATGATGTAAACAGTATTAAAAAGTATTATTTAAGTCTACTCTAATTTTATAAAAATTGGTGTACAAATGTGTAATCTGTTAAAGGTCGACTTTGAAATAAACAAAAATTAAAAAAAAATCATAAATTTTCAAAAATTTCGAAAAGAGGAGCAGCTAGGATTTTGGTAAATATTATTTTTAAGTCACCAAAGGGTCCCGAACAAGAAACTGCAATCAGTTTTTCGCGGCATTTTTATGTGACTTAAACTTTGTTCAGGCACACCGTGTATATAAGTTAATACCTTGCATTTCATATAATTTTAATAAGTTTCACATTTTAAATAAAAATATTGTTAAGAAAGGATATAAGATTTGTAGCACTTATGTTCTGGATGTAGTAGTATGTGAAGGGACGGACAAAGATAATTCCCGCATCATATTTCAGCCCATAATTCTTATTAGTAATGACCATAGTTTCTTGCAAGGAAAACTTTAGAGGCTGCGAGGCGGCGTTAATTTGGAAAATATGGGTTGACAAGATCGCTGCAAATAAGTCCTTTTGCTTTCAACTGCAACCCCTGTGAGCAATTACCAACTTCACACTCTCGAACTTCTCAAGCATTTAATTATTTTAATTAGCGGCCCGGTTTGTTCAAAGCAACCGAGCAACAGTTTTAGAAATGGCGATTCCGTGTCACATACTTAATTTAATTAATACAGGCACCAAGTCTGCAGTCTAAGAACCTATTGCACTGTGCATTTTTACTACCTACTCTCCTTAAGACAGTTGCAATAATATGAACACGTAACTAAATGAAAAGAGACGGACTCTGGAGAAAAGAGACAAACGGACAAACTGGAAGTTGGCATCCTCATTTATAATCTCCAGAGATCTTATTCAAGTTAATGCTGTTTAACTAAATTATTTGAAGGCTGTGCAAATGTAAAAACAAAAAAATAGAAATTTAAAAAAAATCAAATTATTAATTTATAATTAAAATTATTTACACAGTAAAAAAAATCAACTCTAAGTAACACTAATTAGAGTTCACACAGGTCCACAGTGTGGATAAACAACACTATTTAGTGTGGACTCCACACTAAATAGTGTTGTTTATAACACTACAATAATTGGAGCTAATTTGAAGTGTAATTTTCTCCAAGTAAGCAAGTATGATTTAACACTATAGCACTGAGGTTAAAGTAATTTTACACTGTATTAAAAAGTGCTAATTAACCTAAAATCGTGTTAAAATCCCACTTTTGTTCAGTGTAAATTAACACTACTTTGAAAAAGTTCTAATTATAGAAAGGTACTTTTACTCTTTTATTGCAAACTTCTAGTGAAAAAAACCTATTGGTGGTAGTGTATATAAAACGAAAAGGTAAATAAAGAGAAACATTTATTTGGAACAAAAATCTATGACATAATTATCAAAATCGGTGCCTTTTAAAATATAATTTTATATTTGGATTCAATTAACCAGCTGCCTGAGTCATGTGGCTGGCTCAAGCAAAATGGTTCCTTAAAAGTTTTAGATCAATGCAATGTTTTACTGGCTATTAACTTCTAAGCAATGAATTATCTTGAGAATTCATCAGTAATTCTGTTATAAAAAATGGATGATCCCATTGGTAAAGAGGCCTCAGGCGGCTGTATGTCGGGGATTTACCAAACGTGTACAAATTTTCCATAATATAAATAAATAAAAATGTAGGTATATATATATATATATATATAAATATATATAATCTATGTATTTATATTATTAATGTACCCGACCTTTTGCTGTAAATTATTGATATATAATATAGGACGCGTATATATAACACATTGGTATTTATTGAGTATTAAGGCTTAAAGAAAAAGGAAGTATAATACTTACCAAAAAATATGGATTCACCTAACTGAACAAAAATGTCACACTTCCACAACGCAATATCTCTGGATATGCACTGTGTAGGTAGGTAGGTACCAACCAAACATTTTAAAACGCATTTTGATTATTACCAGTTTTTTCAGTCTATTTGGTCACTTTTGGTGTAATTTAACTTTAATTGTGATACAATGTGCACTAGTAGTGTAAAGAAAAAATAGCTCTTAGTAACATCAAAATAGACAAATAAATTGACATGCACTGTAGTGTTCATTTTGTCAATATTTAACACATTAAGGGGTAATAAACACTCGCATTAAGTTTTTCTACCCTTTTGATTTATTTTAATAATAAATAGTGTGAATGTACCAATGAATAATGTTGATATTCTTTTAATGTGTTTATTAAAGTTAATAAGCAGTAAATGCTACCTAGTGTATTTGGTAGTGTAACTTTTACACTTAAAAAATCAACTCTAATATTTTTACCCCTACACTAAAATTTTTTACTGTGTATACTTACCAAATGCATATTAATAATTAATTAATTGTGTTGGCCAGAAAAAGTGCTAGACTACAAAATGTAAATGTAAACAAGAAAAATGCAAAATACGCTACTTGGCGATTGAAGCAAGAAAGACGTAGGTCCAGGAGCTATGCCTGGCTTGCCCAAAACGAGTATCAGTGCGGATTGTGGATTTTTTTGAAAATACTTAGTGTTTTTTTTATTATTTTTTGACAACTCTTAAAATAAAAATATCCTTTTTTTCCACTGCCCAACAATACCCAAAATTACTCAATTGCTTACTTATTTAAAGTGTCTTAATATTTAGAATAATTTAAAGTTTGCCTCGTTAACAAAATTACAAATGCAGTTTTGGTCTCTAGGTACCCATTTTCGCAGCAAAAGTGCATTAATTCCAATTATCCTTGCACAGTGCATTTTTCGCATTCCTAAGATCCCAAGCGCCGAACAGAATAAGAGCACGTAGCTAAATGAATAATAACTTGTTCGTTTGAATTTTAAAATTGGAGAGTCTTCGGACAAAAAGCCAAGGAATATTCTTCTTCTTGGCAGCTGGATTAAAAATATCTTAATTAGTATTTTCTTTAGAAATTTAAATTACCGACTTCCTTTGAAAACGGCCAGAGAAATTATTGCGAAATTATCTTATCTAAATTACGGCCCATTCAGGGATTTCATTTATTTAAAAAGATTAAAGGGATTTAATGGCTCATTATGGTGAGTACGATTCATGAAGTAAACTAACCGCAAACTAATTGACATAGTTTTTAACGATTTATTAAAAAATATTACTTAAATGCAACGGTATACCGGGAGGCCCAACGAAACAGAGTTTTTAACAGTAGAAAGATTTAAATAAACACAAAGCTACGTCAACTTTAAATTCGACTCCTTAGCGGAGTGGTCACTCCAATTCTTATGATAGGACAAGTGATATCTCATTTGAAAGGTCTTGCTCACCGGAAGATCATAAAAAATCAAATTATATCCATTAGTTTTCGAGATATTTCAAATTAAAGTTATAACAACGCGTAGTTTTTATTTAAAAAGTACAGGTCTTTTAACAGTAAGATAAATAATAAAAAAATAAATGAGGCTATATTTAAACCATAATAATTGAGTTTTGCACAAAAAGTTGTCCATCAAAGAATAAGACCCGTATATAAAAATGTCAGCATTTTAGTAACTGTTTTACACAGTAAAAAATTTTGCCCGTGTAAATTTTTTAGTGTAGGGGTAAAAATATGTGTAAAAGTTACACTACAAAATACACTAGGTAGCATTTAGTGCTTATTAACTTTATTAAACACATTTAAAGAATATGAACATTATTCATTGGTACATTCACACTATTTATTATTAAAATAAATCAAAAGGGTAGAAAAACTTAATGCGAGTGTTTATTACCCCTTAATAGTGACAAAATGTACACCACAGTGCATGTCAATTTCTTTGCCTGTTTTGATGTTACTAAGAGATATTTTTTCTTTACACTACTAGTGCACATTGTATCACAATTAAAGTTAAATTATACTAATAGTGGCAAAATAGACTAAAGAAACTGGTAATAACCGAAATGCGTTTTAAAATGTTTGGTTGATACCTATCTACCTACACAGTGCATATCCGGAGATACAGTGTTGTGGAAGTGTGGCATTTTTGTTCAGTTAGATTTTAATTAGGGTGAATCCATAAGAGGACATTCTTATTTTTTGGTAAGTATTATACTTCCTTTTTCTTTAGGCCTTAATACTCAATAAGTACCAATATGTTAAAAGGATGTCCATACCCGACCTATATTATATATCAATAATTTACGGCAGTAGGTCGGGTACTTGTAACATTAATAATATAAATACATAAACA